TTCATATTGGAGTGGCCAGATTGCTTTTGTCTTCAGGAGTTCCCACAGAGGCCCCAGTCAGATGAGGATCAGATGCTCTCAGGCTTTCTCTAAGGTCTGGATTCCTCCAGGAAAGATTTTGGCCTCAGGAATTTGGGGGTTGGACTGGCCTGGGAGCAGGGCCCAGGAAAGATGGTGGTCTCAGCAGCTGGCTGCTGTGACACTCAGAGATGCAAAGGGAGATGAGGGTGGGAAGTGGCCCCAAGGGCTCCTGGGGACTGCACTGAGGAATTGGGTTGTTCTGGATGCAAGGGATCAGGAAGCAGTGGTGGCCCCTGGCTGAGAGCTGAGCCCTGGTGTCCAGGAAACAGCCTGGAAGGCCGTGGAGGTGAGGGCGGGACCAGGCCCAGAGGGCTCCTGGGGACCTCGAAAAGGAACTGGGTTGGTCTGGATGCAAAGGATCATGAAGCAGTGGTGGTGTCCCTGGTGTCTGGGGTGCCAAGACAAGGAATGGGACGGGACCCATGCTAGGAGGAGAGACAGGGGTGGGTTGGGTGCGGGTGGGGGGGTGAATGAGGCTGGGGGAGTCAAGTCTCGGAGGGCGTAATCTACTTACCCTGGAGAGAGGCTGGTGGGTCATACAGGCCCAGGGAAGCAGAGGGAAGTGAGGGTGGAACCAGGCCCAGAGCTTTATTTAATTTTTAATTTGTATGCATATGAGTGTTTTGCCTGCATGTATCTAAGTGTACCCATGTCATGCAATGCCACAGAAGCCAGAATAGGGCATTAGATCCCCTGGAACTGTAATAAAGATGGTTGTTAGGCACCATGTGTGTGTTGGGGACCAAACTCTGGTCCTCTGCAAGAGCAGCCAGTGCTCTTAACTGCTGAGCCATCTCTCCAGCCCCTGGTCAATCAGTCTATAATGTACAAGGTGAAAAGACAATCAGAGATCATTAGTTAAAGATATATCTGTTTCTAACTGGAGTCCTCCTCTTTCCAGGCAGTGCGGGAGTGGGGTAGATGGTAAAGGTCATATGAGTTGAAATGGATTCGTTCAGCACTTAGGGATAGAGTGCTTGCCTCAAACCACAGGATGAAAAGAAAAAAAGAAAGAAGGAAGGAATGAAGAAACTGTACAGTTCCACAGATCAATAGTGATCAGTGATTGACAATTTAGATTAAAATAAAGAAGTTGAACAGTATTGTACTGGACTCTAAGCTTAGTTTGTTGGTTAATGCCCTACTGGACAACTGGGAGGCAGGAATTGGTGGAAAGAAACAGATTTATTTATAGTTTTGGCCAAAACTGGTGATGAAAAAGATAATTCAATCTCTCTTCACTTTGTCAATAGCAAAGTTACTATATATAGATGAACAAAAGCCAAGAAATATGCAAATGTGAATTTAGTTATCAGAACTGAGAACTAAGTCTTTCTCCTGGACCAGTCTCCCTTCTGGCTCCAGTGCCCCAAGCATGGAGGTTTCCTGGAGAAACTGGAATCCATAGGGCCCCAGGACAATATGTCATTATTATGTCCACATGTGCACATGTGTCAGAAGAGATCCCAGGGAATTTGTACCATCGCAAACCCGATTTCTTCTTTGCTGTGTTCTGCTGCCAAGTATTCAAATTGGGCTTGGTGGTTCTGAAGCCTTGAACTTTAAGAGAATTTGATCGCTGGATGCTTCTGGGGACTTGGAGTAGGGTGCAGGCTTAGCCGTGGGTGCTTGGGATCTTCCCTTTGTGTTTTTTCACAGAGAGGGCAGCTCTGCCTCCCTAGAGCTCTCTCAGGTCTTCCCAGGGTGTGTTTGGACATAGAGGCTGGGCAACACTGTTCTCTCTCATGTGGATCCTAGCTTCTAGTGCTATATATGTGAGTCGATGTGGGAGTGAGTGTGGGTAGAGAACATGAACCTAGAAAGGGGCCCATAAGAGGGAAAAAGAGACTTTAAAGAAGTGGGTAGGGAGGCTCACAGAATACATGTGACATGAAAGTGGAAAAGGAAATATTGGTGGCTGGAGGGTACAGGATAGGAGGGGAGGCAGGTATGGGCACAAGGAGCAGGTGGGAGGTTTAACCAAGGCTCAGTATATATGAACATACCGTAAAGAAATCTGTTATTTTATATGCTAATTAAAAACCCTATTAAAAATCTGTTCTTGAAACAGTCCAGGCAGGATGGAAGTTTAAAAGGCAAGAGATAGGGCTTACTTTTTCTTTTAAACAGTTCATTCAATATTTAAGAAGTTCTAAAGTATAATATGAAAAATGGTAGTGTTTATGCTGGGTCAGTAGGACGAGTCTTCTATGCAGTGGCTCTCTGCTCAGCTTTCAAATTGTGCTTTTACAGACTGTTCTTTCTGTTGAACTTATAAAAAGAATTTTCAGGAAGCCTGCAGGAACCAAGTTCCTATAGAGAAAGTAGTGTACCATGTCCTTGTCCACCTTGAGAAGATGTTTGACTGGTCCCTTCTAAGGGTCCTGTTCAGCAGGGTGAACCTGAAGGAGTATCCTGGTTTAATAGAAATTGAAAAGAGCTTTGAAACTGGTAATTAATTCTTGTCTCTCCTTTTTTCAATAAAGCCCCACGTTTTAAAATATATTCACTGACGATTTCATACATGTATATAGTGTATATAGATCATATTGAACCTGCTTTCCATCAAATTCCCTCTCTGAACATTCCCAACTCCTCCTCTTCCTCCTCCTCCTCCTCCTCCTCCTCCTCCTCCTTCTCTCCTACTGAGTCTGATTAGTGCTGCCCATTTTAACGTGGGTATGGTACTGTTCACTGGAGCATGGATGAACAACCTACCAGTACCCACACCCCTTAAGAAAAATGACTCTCTGCCCCAGCAGCCATCACCTGCCAGCCGCTCCTTAGTTAAGAGTGGAATCTCGTGAGCCCCTCCCTATCCACACTGGACTGTTGGCTGGCTTGACCTTGTGCAGGTGACCACAGCTGCTGTGAGCTCATGAGTGCAAAGCCCATGTCCTTTCCAGAAGACAGCGTTTCACAGCTCTTCTCTCCATCCTCCAGCTCCTACGGTCTTTCCACCCTTTTTCAGAGCTGACAGTTCTATTTTTCCATTACTTTATTTGATCAGTACCTGTGCTGGACAGTGTGAACATAATTGGACTGATGTCCTGGCTCGCTTTATGGGTAGCTTCCAGGTTCCTGGTCATGGAATCTTGGGATTTCCTTCAAGATAGGAAGTCACCCCTACTTTAGTTTTCCAAGTCCTTTCTTGCTGCTTGAGCTTGACCGCTCCCCCCCCCCCCCCCCCCCCCCCTTGCCCCCCCCCCCCCCCCCCCCGCCAGGCCCCTGGGATGTTTGTCTGCTTCCTTCCCATGTCTTCTGCTATGTCTCTTTGCAAAGTGCTCATCCTTCCTCACCCAATGAAGCTCTTTGCTAGCCCCATCTTTGAAACTTTGGGGCCTTTTCTTTGATCAATGTCACTCTCTAAGATCTTTGCACAACTCCAGAGGAAATCCCTTTTCTTCCCTAAGCTCTGTGTAGCCACAGGAACATTCCTTTCCTACAAGGGGAAAAACTTTTGCTTCATTGTGCTTCTCTTGTTGGGTAACTAATGATTCTGCTTTCTCCATTGCTCTATCATTCTCAAAACTTGAGAAAGGGCTTAATGAGATGCTTCAGTGGTTAAGAGAAAGTGCTGCTCTTGCAGAAGACCCATGTTCAGATTAGGCAGATTAGGCAGCTCACAACCTCCTGTAACTTCAGTTCCAGGGAATCCAACACCTTCTTCTGCCCTCCAACTCGAGAGTGTCATTATATATAGAATTTCCGTGGTTTTGTTTTGCTTTTTCCTCTTGACTGTCCTGCAGGAAGGGACAAGCTATATCCAGTCATGAGTCACCCAAGGACCTGAAATTCCCACTGAAGTACAAAGATTCACATGTGTGTCACCCGTGTGATTGTCCCAGCTTCCACCCCACCGTCCCTGTCATTGTGAGTTCGTGCTTTTAGTCACGTGCCTACAGATGCTAATTTTTGTTTTTCTCTGCTCAGTACTGCAAGACAAATGTCTTTCCTGGAAAAGTGATAAAGAAAAGCAAAAAATGTTCACCACTCAGCCAAGCTATGAGCAAAGTACTTAGAACTGGGCAAAAATTTGGCTTTCTGGTCAAGCAAGGAAACAGAGAACTGAGCTGGGGTGGGAGAACCAATGCTATGTGAAGACTCTGATTTTGTATCAGTTCTAAAATGACCTGACTCCAACAGCGTTGTCAAGAGACAGCAAGGATGGATTTGCTACTCAGTAAGATGGGGTGTGAACCAGGTGTCTGAGTGTGGATTCTGAGTTAAGAGATCTTCAGTGGCAAACTGGGAAGGGCTCAGAATGCGGGTCTTCAGGGAACAGCATCAAAGAAGAGATACTTGGTGATAGCGAAAGTGATTAATATAAATGTGCAGGCTGTTGTTCAAGAGTGGGACTATTCTAGGAGAAAGGCAGGCACACAGACACTGAGAGGGAGTGGTAGGGACACAAGCAGAGCATGTGGATACTTGAGATGGAGGCAGGAAGAAGTGGGGCGCTGAAAGACAGAACAGAAAGGGGACAAAAGGCAGCAATAAGAGAACCTGTCCCTGGCAGCTCACTTCACTTGACTGTCTGCTCTTGGCTGCTGTGGATTCAGCCATCCAGTGGTCACTAGAGACTGCTGTCACTTGGGTGCTCCGTTTACAGATGAGGAAACTGGAGTTTTCACGAACAAAGGCGAACCCAGGCATTCTGAACCCTGAACCTTCTTAATCCTGCACTGCTACTCAAGGAGTCTAATAGAAAAAGCAGAAACAGAAAACAAAGGCACAGAAATATGTGTGGAGGGAAAGATACAGGAATCAAGAGCAGGAAGTGGAGGCAGAACTCTCGCTGAATTTTCATGGAAAGGCCAGCAGGGATGAGTTATGAGGGTGGCGGGGGTGGGGTAGGGGCAACAGGGGAAGGCAGTGGTGTGAGAGGAGGTGTGGTCCAGGGAACTGGGACTGCCAGAAACTCAGGTAAGGCAGCTCTGTGCAGGGCAGCTCTGGAGACGCATGCAAGTGCCCAGTACCCATGGATATGATGATTAGTTATCCCCAGGTACTAGAGTGGTCCAGTGAGGCCCTCAGCCAGCACTGACCCTGTACCCCTCTCAGAGCTGAAGGTTGACTTGAAGAATCAGATGAGACTTGTCAGCGCCATATGGGCTCTGGATTGATCCTTCAAGGGGGTTTCAGTAACTGCATTATAAAGACAAACAAGAACCCCTACTTCAGGTTCTGAAATAAACAAATTTCTTCTTAGAATCTTGTGGAAACTGGTCTCCAGGAAGCCTGACCTGGTCACCCTCTGATCCTTCCTCTTTTAATGCTCTGTTACTGTTGATCTGTGATGTGCTATGGGGTATCTGCTTGTGTTACTGACTATCCAGAATGTTCAGTGTTTGTTTCTGCAGTTTCTCCAAGTTCAGGGTTTAAATGTCAGAGCCTTTGTTCTCTGGGTTGTATAGGAGAGTTTCTGCACTGAACATTTGATTAATTTTTTTTTTTTTAGTCTTTTTGAGACAGGGTTTCCCTGTAGCCCCAGCTGTCCTGGAACTTACTATGTAGACCAGGCTGGCCTTGAATTCACAGAGATCCACCTGCCTCTGCCTCCCAAGTGCTGGGATTAAATGCATGTGCCACCACACCTGGCACATTTGATTAACTTATTAATGCATTTAAATAAAATATCTTTATTCATGATGTCACAATGTCATATTTATGAAACTACTTTGTCATCTTTGGTCCATCCAATCTGGAAGAACTTCAGAATCTATCTGGGATGTGAAGTCAATGTGTATAAAGACAGATTATTCTGTTTCTGATCCAAATGAGGCTCTTAAAACTCATCAAACCAACCATGAATATGTCCAAGCAGGTGAAGCTGGTGATGGTTTGGTATCTGCATGGGTGATGGATGGTGGTGTCTGCCATCCAGGAGCAGTGGTGTCATTGCTATGCCACATCACGTGATTAATGTCTGAAGGGGACACCCCAGTGACTGCAAAGACTGGACCAATGTCCACAGCAAGGAGACAGTGATGTAAGGAAAAATTGTATTTGGTAGTTTCTGTGGGAAGGACTAAGAAAATCAGAAAAATAGAGAATGAGAGATAGGAAAGAGAAACAGAGAGT